TTAGGCTGTTGGCTACCTTTTAGCCTGTTAGCTAGTTGACCAGTCTAGTTCTAGTTAAGAACATAAGTTGTCAGTCCCCCAGTTTCAACAAAAAACAGGTTCTTACTTTATCAATATACTCGGTGGTCCGTGCGAGCAGCATGAGAGTCAAAGATTATTCCATTAACAGCACAAGGATTCTATTTCGTGCTGTGGCACAACAATATATAATTCAGTTGTTGTGAGACTATTCATGGAATGTCTTACAGGCATCAATTTCAGAATGAGCCTATAGTTACAAGTTGACAAAATATGAAGCATCTTTTCTTTGTACCATTTTCATTTAAGTGAATTTACAAAACACTGCTTTGTGTTTTCACTTGCATTTCACCTACTGTCCCAACTTTTTTGGAATCGAGGTTTGGAATTGTGATGAAGGATTTTGTCCGTATTGTAACACTGTAATGTGGGCTTGTATGTGTGTGAAGCGGCGTATTGACTTTCTCCCGCATTCCCCGGAGTACCGTTAATCACAACACGACATGCAGACCTCAGAAAGAAGCCCATGTCATGTTTACAAAAGTGTAATTTTATCACTCCACCTTTTCTCCTCTCCGTCGTGACAGCTCTTCCCAGGCTGTTGGCAAACAGATCGAATTGTCGTGATCTAATGATTTGTTTTATCTTTCCTCCAATTTGAAGCTGTCAGTGTGGTCAGATTTCTCTCCCTCTCCTCTCTGGACTCCTGAAGGTTCAGGTTTTCGCCTGAGGCTGACCGTAAGAGCCTGGGCTGATGGGTAAATCATTACTCCTGCTGTTGCTCTTGGCATTGCTGTGGACTCCCGAGTCCTGCATGAATCACTCTCTCGCAGACGGGTCTCTCCATTCGCTCTCAGATAAAGTGGCAAATAAGTAATCTGGTGCTGTCTGCATGAAACAGAAGATGTTAGAGGATCTCATGAAGGGTCAGCGCATTTTCATGGTCTTACAGCGTCTTCAGCAACTGTTAACCTTTTAATGTTGGGACAGAAAAATCTGTTTCTGCTTTTAAATGACAAATTCTTCATATGCAGTTTCTGCTTTCTTTTTAATATCTAAAGCATGCTTTAAACAAAGCCAGAAATTAGTAGATTGATTGTGTTACAAACTTCCATTTTATGTAGGAAAAACAAATGCATAGCAATATACTTCACATTTAAGTGCCTTTTATTGTTACTCTATTGAAACAAATCAAACGTGTTTCCAGATTTAATGGAAATGAAATAAGGACAAAGACAAAGAATGAATCGCTGATGTTAGGTTTGATAGATTTTGATTCTTTTTTTTTTAAATGAAACAATAGAAGCCATATCGCCCCCTACACTTCCTGTAGTGTATTACAGTCTGTCAGAATGACTGTGTGGATCATATGAACATTACAGAGCACTTTTTAAATGAAACAATAGAAGCCATATCACCGCCTATACTTCCTGTAGTGTATTACAGTCTGTCAGAATGACTGTGTGGATCATATGAATGTTATAGAGCACTTTTTAAGTGAAATAATAGAAGTCATATCGGACAACTAGTCAGACAGCAGGTCTGCAGAAAGTAGTTACTGAATAATGTCTCCAACCAAACTTCAAACTCCAAACCAATGTAAACATTGCTAAATTTGCTAAAACATTCACTCCTCAGTCTGTACAGTATGTATGTGGAAACTAAGGTGCTAAAACAGTCCTAAGGGATAAAGAGAGGTTGGAAAGTGGTCATGTAAAATGAATTAAGACCAGTACATAACTGAAAAAAACAAGGAAAAAAAACATACAATATGGGCCCTTTAAAGTTAATAATTATAAAAATCTGAAGTTTAAAGGGCAGAGAGCAGAGATTCTTTCTAGTGGGTAAATGATGTTTTTTTTTTTTGCAGTTAGGTCCTTAAATGTCCTTTTTTCAGGACAGGACAGGCTGATTTTATGGCATGTTATTGTAAGGTGAAGTGTTTTTGTGTCTGCAGTCAGACAGGTTTAGAGTGGCTGCTGGCTCTGTGGAGGTTTGGGTTTCCAGCAGACTTAATAGAGCTGTATATGTGTGTGTGTGTGTGTGTGTGTGTGTGTGTGTGTGTGTTAAGTCGGTGTGAAAGGTGAAGAGAAATCTGTCGGTGGTCCCCTGGGTGGGCTCTGGGTGTGGGAAGTGTGTAAAAACCCTTTCAGCATAGCAACATTCCAGCAGCTGTCCGTTCCCGTCAGACACTTCCCTTACAACATCGCACACTTCCTCTGCAGACACTTTCACCCACACCTACACCACGACACACACGCACTCATAGTGGCGCACCAGACTCGTACACTGGAGTGTATCAGCTCTGATACTGACCTAATTAACTCTCAGCCTGAAAAAGTGTCTGTTTCTGCCAGTTAATCTACTCTCATCCTTTAGTTGGTCATAAACTACTATTTTGAGCCACGAGTGTGAGTATCCCTCACATTTCAGTGGCCCTAAATGTTTTCACTGATCAATAATCAAATCAATATTACAGTCCAGCAATGAAGGCAGCATGGAGCTTTTTTATGCAGTGATAGTTGCTCACAGAAAGCTCCAATTCCAAGTGCTGATCCATTTTGCTGAACAGCATGGATATAAATGCTCACCAGCTATTCTGGAGACAGTTTTTAATCAGTTAAAGGGCTCATATTATGCATCTTTCTTGCATTTTATGTACTTTGTTTGAGGTTTGTGTGGTTTCGTGTACCAAAAGTAATCATAATAGTCATAATTCAATGTTCCAACCTCTCTATATGCCCAGGAAATAAACATTTAAATGTATGTGAATGGGTGAGGCTAAACTGCTGTAGGCTGAGTTGACATATAAATTTAAACGCATAGGTCCCCACAGGACCCCCAGAGCCAGTATTATTTGTGTGGTGGCTCATTCTCAGCACTGCAGTGACACTGATGTTGTGGTGGTGTGTTAGTGTGTGTTGTGCTGGAGTTGTAAATGCTGTGTCTACTCACAGTCCATTCTATTAGAGACGTCTACCTTGTTGGTCCACCTTGTAGAGGTAAAGTCAGAGACAATAGCTCATCTGCAGCTGCAGAGTTTGTGTTGTTCATCCTTTTGGTTCTCAGTCCAGCAGCAACACTAAGGTGTTCAAAAACTCCAGCAGCACTGCTGTCTCTGATCCACTCGCACCAGCACAACACACACTAACACGCCACCACCACGTCAGTTTCAGCAAATGTTTTTAGTCATACATATTTCTGACGATTATTTGGTTCCTCTGTGATTCCTTAGCGAATGGTCCAGTGCATCATGAATTCTCAAATTTCACCTTTCATTGCACCAATTTCACCCCATCCACTAAAACATGCCCAGATTCTGATCTACTGCATCATCCCACACTGCTTCTATCAGTTCTTTATTCTCCTATATAGAGCAATATATTTTAATTACCCTAAAATGCTCCCTGTTCTCTGATATTGAAATGAAAGAGTCAGACGCGATCTCACGTTTTCACGTCTATCTCCCTCACAGATCTAACCGCTGCGCTTTGCTGTCATTATAATCCTTTGCTTTAGGGAGCAACAACTCTTAAAATCTTGTCAAAACATGAGAAGGTACGTAATAATTTCTGAGGAGTAAACGGAGCTCCAGGCCTAGGCTTGGCAACAACGTTCTCGCCAATTAAGAATTCGGCTCTGCTAGTCTTGATTTGATCATTTGTGACCTTCTAAGACTGCTCATCTTTGCATTATTAGGACACACGTACGCATTTTCTCACCGCAGTGCCCCTGTAGGCAGGCTTTTATGACTACTGGTGATTAATCTGATAATTATTGTCAATAATAGGCTGTTAAGAGAATCCTTGAGGATTATTGCTGAGATGGAAACTTCTCATCGAACGCAGTGCATGCTGTGTTAGCAGATTGTAGCCCTCACTCAGCTATTGATCGTACAAAATCGTTTTCATATATCTTTTTATATGCGATTATAAGGATTTGACTTGATCAGTACTCAATAAGGAACATGCTCTTGTGGTTTGGTTTCCTGGCTTTCGCTGTAGATTTGCTCATCTGTCTACAACTGTGATGGATTTTGCTTGCTTGTGGTGAAAACTTCACAATTCCTGGCCCACAAATATGTTCGTTTGTAGTACTGCTGCCTGTCTCAATTACCACTTAACCTCTAGATTGCAATTATTTGAGCTGAATTGAAATTATGTAAGATGACCACAACTGTGTAGTTAACTTTCACAATTATGAATACCTGGCTCTAAGTGTAGGTATTGTGATATAAACTGGGTCTGTTCTACAGTTTCTCATTAAATTGAATGAATATCTGACTCTAAATGTAGGTATTGTGATATAAACTGAGTCTGTTCTACAGTTTCTCATTAGATTGAATGAATATCTGACTCTAAATGTAGGTATTGTGATATAAACTGAGTCTGTTCTACAGGTTCTCATTAGGTTGAATGAATATCTGACTCTAAATGTAGGTATTGTGATATAAACTGAGTCTGTTCTACAGTTTCTCATTAGATTGAATGGATATCTGACTCTAAATGTAGGTATTGTGATATAAACTGGGTCTGTTCTACAGTTTCTCATTAGGTTAAATGAATATCTGACTCTAAATGTAGGTATTGTGATATAAACTGGGTCTGTTCTACAGTTTCTCATTAGATTGAATGAATATCTGACTGTAAATGTAGGTATTGTGATATAAACTGAGTCTGTTCTACAGTTTCTCATTAGGTTGAATGAATATCTGACTCTAAATGTAGGTATTGTGATATAAACAGAGCCTGTTCTACAGTTATCATGGGAATCGTATAGTGATAATATCATATCTTAAGATATCTTGTGATTCCCATCCCTAGTGACATCACAACCACAGTGTTCTGTAAAGACTTTCCAACCTTACAACAGTAGCTAAACGGGCGCATCAGTAGACGGGACTGGACAGTGAAATTTGATTTAGCACTGATGCTGTATCAGGTAAAAGACAAACACTAACACCCCTCTGTCTCTCCCTGTAGGGGTTCAGGAGTCTCAGCATGAGAAGGTAGTGATGGTGAGCGGTGAGGGGATGATTCACAGCCCTGGATTCCCACACACATACCCCCGCAGCACTGTGATTGTGTGGAGGCTAGGAGCTGCCGATGAAGTCTCCAAGATCCAGCTGACCTTTGACCAGCGTTTCGGCCTGGAGGACCCTGAGGACGGCGTCTGCAAGTAAAAAGGAGTTCACATAGTTTTAACACAGCGCAGAGCTTAGTACACTTTAGAACATAGATTCTGACAAAAAAATCACATTTACACAATTTTCCACATTGAGGCCTTGCAGCAGAAAACAGTACATGTGACATTTATTGTAAAAATTATATAAGTATGCTCTGGCATTGTTCGATGCCCCGTATATAAAATAAAGGGGTCAATAAAACATAAATAAAGCATAGTTTGGCTTTTCGTTGTGCAAGGTTGGTTGCATTATAAATAAATTAGAAAACAAAATAACTGATAATTAAAAAAAAGAGTGAAATGGTTAAAATATACACTTAAAAAAGATGGTTCTTCAAGGGTTCTTTAGTAAAGAAAATGGTTCTATGTTGAACCATGAACACTCAAAGAACAATCTGCATGATTGAAGTGTTCTTTGCATGGTGAAAGGTACTATGTAGCACCAAAAAAGTGTTCTACTAAAACAAGCCTGACATTGTAACAACAAAAAGAACTATTTTTTGTTGCTATATAAAACCCTTTTTAAAAAGGTTCTATATAGAACAATATACAGCACATTCTTCATCGCAGTGCAGAACCGTTTCACGAATGTGCTGTAGATGGTTCTGTGTAGAACTTTTTTTCAAAAGGTTCTATATAGCACCAAAAAAAGGTTCATCTATTGTAACATGCCTGACAGCATATCAATAACCTTTTTTGGTGCTATATAGAAACTATGTCAAAAATGTTCTATATAGAACAATATACAAGACATTCTCCATCAACCTGAAGAACGATTTCCTGATGTAAAGAACCCTTTAATCATGAAAAGGATTCTTTGAATGTTCATGGTTCTATATACAATCATTATCTCTACACACTTAAAAATGATGGTTCTTCAATGGTTCTTTGGTAAATAAAATGGTTCTATCTAGAACCATGAACACATTTAAAAACTGCTTTGCATGATTAAAGTGTTCTTTGCATGGTGAAATGGTTTTTCAGATTAATGGAGAATGTGCTGTAGATAGTTCTATGTAGAACCTTTTTGACATTGTAACAATAGAAGAACTCTTTTTGGTGCTATATAGAATCTGTTTCAAAAAAGTTCTTTATCCAGCCATCTACAGCACATTCTCCGTCATTTGCATTGTTAAATGGTTCTTCAGATTGATGGGGAATGTGTTCTATAGAGAACCACCAAAAAGAGATATTTTACTGTAACAAGCCTGATATTGTAAAAATACAAGACCCCCTTTTGGTGTTACGTAGAACTCTTTTCTAAAAGGTTCTATATACAGCAATATACAACACATTCTTCATCAGTCTGGAGAACAAAGGGCTCTTTGAGTGTTCAGGGTTCTATATAGAACCATTTCCTTTACACACCTAAAAAATGGTGATGGTTCTTCAATGGTTCTTTGGTAAATAAAATGGTTCTATGTAGAACCATGAACACATTTAAAAACCACTTTGCATGATTAAAGTGTTCTTTGCATGGTGAAAATGTTCTTTAGATTGATGCAGATTGTGCTGGATAGTGTACTATATAGAAACTTTTTGAACAGGGTTCTATACAGCACCAAAATAGTTAGTCTACTGTAACAAGCCTGACATTGTAACAATACAAGTACTCTTTTTGGTGCTATATATATATATATATGTAGTCAGTGAATCAAGACATGACTGGTGTCTTTAGCTTTAGAGGGGAGCTACAAGGCTAATGGAGTTAACAAGTAATGGAAGTTTATAGCCAATTAAAAAAAATGTTATTAGAAACAATATAGAAGCCTGAATTTCATCCATACTTTTGCTCATGTTTTATAGATGACAGTGTGTTATACAGCATCCATACAACGCTCAAATCATCACATTTGCCTCAAACCATGTGGAGTTGTTAAGCAATCTCTAATAGACTCTAACAGATCAGTCTGTTAACATTGTAGTCCCTGTAGTTACTGAATAATAAGCGTTAGTGTGTAATAGGTCTGGGATTTTAAAGGGTACTATATAAAAAGGACTAGAGAACATGGCATGGCTAAATATAGCTAAATATAGAACATTGCATATGTTCAATATAGCAAGTCAAAGTAAATATTTAAAGATAATATGTAATTATTTACATACTACATCCATGTTATGACATGTCATTGTTTTGACATACTGATGCAAAAACAGAGGATGAGAAATGTTTTTCCATAAAAAAATACAATAAAAAAACAGTAGTACCAGCTTTACTTTTGATGTTACTTTATCTTTTACAATCAGCTTTTCCTGAGCAGACCCTTATTTCATTGAGAGGAACATTGGTCTCCATGTTGTTTGATGATGGTCATTAGTATTTTATTATATTTCAGCTGAAAACTATAATTACATCTAGTAAGAAAATCTGAGCAAAGTACCACACATTCTTCTCCCTGTTTTCTAATTAAACGCCTGCAGTTCCTGTAATAGGAGTTCAGAAATCAAAAGCAGATCAGAATAAATATTTTCCAACACTCAGACTTTGCTTTCATTCCTCAGTGTTTGGTTGCAAAGCGTTTGATGATGTAATCAGTAGCTGAAGGGAAAGGCTCTGTAGATCAGATTCGCTCTCAGCGCTTCAGTTTATCTGCATTTTTACAACCAATACAGCTTAAAGACAGACACAAAAACCAGAGGAACCTGAAGCGCAGGCCATGCACACTGCAAAGAGATGCTTTTTGGAGGGTTCTTTAGTAAATGTAATGGTTCTGTGTAGAAACAGGAGGTTCTGTGGTTCTGTAGAGCACCAAAAGAGTTCAGATGTCAGGCTTATGTACAACAGAAGAGCCTTTTTGGTGCTATATAGAGCTATTTTCAAAAAGTTTCTGTAGAGAACCATGTACAACACATTCTCCATCAATGTGGATTTCACCATGCAAAGAACCATTTAAGCATGCACTTGGTTCTATGTAGAAGTAATGGTTCCAAACAGAGCCTCATTCTCCAATATCTTCCCAAGATTTTTCTTGAGAAAGGTCCTAAGAAAAAGTCTACATGAAATTCATGATGCGTTCTTAAAGCAGAACTGTTCTCACCTTTGTGCTCTTGAGTGTGTGTAGATTCTGTTCTTACCTAAGAACAAATCCCGAATAAAACAGAGGTGAATGTCTTTGTGAAAACTGCGTAAGTGGGTTTTAGGAAAAAATGTCTTCTTAAGAACGTTTGGTGAATGAGGCCCATTGACTTTACTAAAGAACTATTATTAGAGAACGTAAAGAACTAGAATTAGGCGTGTCCAGTATAGCTTGTGTTACTGTATCGTTATTGCAGTATATTAATTATGCAATAGAACACAAGAGGGAGTGTGTTATCACGAGACGCAGTTCGTTCTCCAGCTCCTTACCTAAATTCCAAAACTGTCATTACCACTGAGCAAGCTTTTCAGTCGGCAGCTGGGACAGAAGAACACCTAAACAACCTGGAATTAGCCAGAAATGAACTGAATACGATTCTCCAAATGTGTAGTCTCATCTAGAGAGTCTGATCAGATCGGACTGAACCGTAAAACTGCCGCAATATCAAGTTTAGCTCAGTTTTGTCAATTTTTGCTAGATATTAATGTTGTTTTGTTCCAGTCAGTCTGTAAAGCATCTTGCAGCCCATTTTGTTTGGTGAAAGGTATTCGGTTCATTTCTGGCTAATTCCAGGTTGTTTAGGTGTTCTTCTATCACAGCTGCTGACTGAAAAGCTGCTCAGTGGTGATGACAGTTTGGGAATTTAGTGTCGTCTCATCTTCAGAGTCTGTAGGACAAATGTGATCTTGAAAGTATCCATTTTCTGTTTGTGCGCAAAGTAAGAAGTAAAAACACTCAAATGTCGTGAGCGTCTCCTACAGCTGTCAATGTCGTTGCTTAGCAACTGCGTCTCAGTGGAGTGATACAGTGTTTGCGAAAAAAAAAACATGCTGTTTTGGTGAAATAACAGCATGGATAGAACGCTTCTCAACCAATCAGCTTGCGTGGCCAGAACTAACTGTTGTATAATAATAACTAATAATAAGCTAAGACCCTTTAGGAACATTTCTACGTAGGAGTGGAGCATTTATTGTGTTTATTAAACATTTCAGACGAGATTTTGCTTGTGTGGATTGAACAGCATTGGACTGTTACTGTGTTCTGTGATTTTAAAGCATGTCTTAAAGGTTCCACTTATGTCCATTCTTAAGTGTGCGCTGTGATGAAGGAAAGATGTATGTGCTTGCTGTTGCCATTGTTAAAGATTCAGAGTGTGTGTGTGGGGGGGGGGGGGCTTAGGGGGGCTATTTGTGAGATTGCCTGAGTGAGTTACTGCTGATGAATATTGAGAACACTCTTAAAAAGGTGGTTCAAGGGTTCTTTAGTAAAGAAAATGGCTCTATGTAGATCCATGAACACTTAAGGAACTCTTTGCATGGTTAAAGAGTTCATTGCATTGTGAAAGCATTCTTCAGATTGATGGAGAATGTGCTTGATATTATTTTATACAGAAGCCTTTTGAAAAGGGTTCCATATTGCACCAAAAAATGTTCTTTTGTTGTTACAGGCTTGACCCTTCTTGGTGCTCTATAGAACCCTTTTTCATAAAGGTTCTACATAAAGCCATCTAGAGCATATTCTCCATAAGTCTGAAGAACCATTTTACGATGCAAAGAGTCCTTTAAGCATGCAAAGGGTTCTTTGTTTGTGTTGTAATGAAGCACCTGAACACACTGAAGTAAATATCTTGTAGATGTTCTGTTGATACATTACTTACATTAAGTAGATGTTTTGTTAATATGTTCTATTGCGCAAAACCTAACCTTACCAGCCTTACCCAAAACCTAACCTTACCCAAAACCCAACCTTACCCAACCTTACCCAAAACCCAACCCTACCCAACCTTACCCAAAACCTAACCATACCCAACCTTACCCAAAACCTAACCTTACCCAACCTTACCCAAAACCCAACCTTACCCAGCCTTACCCAAAACTTTAACCCTGGCCCTAATCCTAACCTTAACCTTAACCTCAA